ATGCGCTAACAAAATATTAAGGTACTGAAAAAGAAAACTTGGTGTGACAATGGGAACAAATCAAGGTATGTGATGCATAAAAAACCTAGAATCTAGCTTGTTCTTATGAAGGAGTTCATTCTTGTATAAATTGTGATTGGTGGGAGGCTATGGTGGCCTCACAAACTCAGCACATACTGCGAGATCCTTCATGAAATATCGGAAGTTTTGAGAGTTATATTAAAGACTTCAGGTGAAAAATGCAGCTCTGCCTAAATTCTCAAAAAAAAAATGGTATCAGTCCTTCAAAATTCATACAGGAACTGAACCAGCAAACACGTAACTGTTACAGTGATTGAGGAGGGGGCGAATATGCCACCCCAATATTTGTCACTTTAAGGAGTATTTTGAGATCGAAGCATTTGGGAAAAAGTAGGCACAAGAAATGCTCTCTATTCTTCACTTAGTCTAAAACCAGGACATAATTTACAAATATACTCTTTTTACCATGAGAGACTACACTTAAATACCAAAGGTAGTGAGTCTTTTCAACCCAAGGACTGCATCAGAAGGGTTTACAAAACAAACTTAATCTATCATTGGTTTCTTTTATATTTGTCTTTCTCCAATTTGCCAACACTAGAGACACAGTGTATTTTGCTCTGTTTTGTCCTTCTCTAAAGCTGTGTTTTCTTTGTTGAAGATGCTCAGTAAGTCAGTCCTACACTGCCTCCTTGTGATACTCTATTCCAAGTGTCAATGGATATTAAATGAGCAACATACATATTAATACACTTTCTTTCTTTCTTTCTCTTGTTAATCTGTCTTTTTAATCTTGTCAAATTATTTTGTCCATCTGGTATATTGGCCTTAACTAATGGATTTTAAAGGGTACAGGGAGATTAATTTTCTTCCCCGAATGAAGACAAATTAAATTGGAAAATTCAGTTTTCATTTACAAAACACTGTTAAAATTACAGATAGGAAAGAATTATACTCATGCTTTCAACTTTCCTTTGTCCTCAGAGTTCTGTCTTCAACAAATACACAGTACAGATAAAGTAATAAGATTGTCCAGTTCGGAGCCCCTTTGGACTCAGTAACCCGTATGAGTCCTTGGATAATCTACATAGAGTTTAACAAGTGAAGTCGTATGTCTCAGTGAACCAGGAAGTTAAGAATTCAATTTGCCAATTTAACTTTCTGGGTAAGAAATGTAACCTTATTCTAACCTGGCAAGGCAGGCCTATGAGTTACATAAGTTAATTGTGAATCAGAGCATTTGTATTGTCATACTATACTTGAGTTGCACCCCATTAGTGTCTCCTGGGATGTAACATAACCATATAGATTGAATTCGTTTTTAGTAAGCATATTACTTAGTAGTTTTGAAATCTTAATATTTAAAGTCAAAATGCCCCACATCAAAACAGAACAGCAAAGTAATCAATTCAAATTGGTTTGGGCCAGAATAGCTCTACAGCCTTTTATAAACCCTAAAATGAAATGCAGTCACATTTGCATAAGGTAACAACATGCAGTAATGTTTATCTCCCTAATACAGGTGTCAAGTAAATTAGAAATTGTAATACTTCCCCTTTGAAATAAACAATCAAACTAAAAAAAAAATTGTATCTATCATCTTGCCTTAATAATAATTTGACTTATAAAGTAGCCATAAAATCAGCTTGTAAATCCTTTTTAGACTACTACATTTTAGGATGTATTCTTTTAACAACCGTGGCTTCTCATTATCACTTGCATGTGGTATGTTAGGCACTGCTCTGAATACATTCAGAATTCAGTTCATTTTGTTACATCAACTGCTTTACCTGGCAATATGATGGATTAATATGGACACATTCAGATTACTTAGATTTTAAAAAGTAAGACTTTAAGCTACGGAATCCTTCTAGTTTTATTTGTAACCTTTATTGATGCCAAATGATATCTAAGGATATCTAATTAATTTAACATACTTCAGAATAAACATTAAGGTGGGTGTTGTTTAAATCAAACTCCAGGTTTAGCATTCTATTTCACCAGCAGTTTGGCTCACTTTGGATTTAATTAGAAAGTTCACACAAAACAGTTTCTGTCATCTACAGTTCTAGTGCTATCACAGGTCTTACCAATTAACAGTCTCCGTTGAGGAGATTAGTGATGTCTGTCAAGATATGAGAACTGCTTAGTATTTCAGAGCAACTGTTCATTCATGCATGATTAATATATAAGAAGTCAGTTCCAGAGGAGTTGGGGACTGAGATTTTATTCCTAAGTATTTAGAAATTCAGCCACTGTGACTGCATTTCCAGTTGTCTGATGCTTACTGAAAAAGAAAACTGAATCCTGTTTCTAGAATGTTGTCATCTGCCTCTAGAGAATTTTATGCAGGTGCTAAACAAACAATCTAAAAGTACAAAAAACTGAGAGTAGAAGGAAGAGAGAAAAGTAAAAGCTGAGATTAGTTTTAGCTGATAGTAAATAATCAGTAGTTTTCCACTGAGTTTTTCAGCACAGAATTGCTTATAATTATTAAAACTGAAATTTAACAAGTGTAAGGAGAAGTACAATGTTCTCAGTTATTTATGGACAGTGAGCAAGATTGATGGGTGGTAGCTTCCAGGGTGATCAAGTAATTGTTAAGAGTTGGTGATATTAGAAACTAAGTTGTAATGCCTAGAAAATTGAATGCTAGATATTGGAATGTTGAAGGTAAAATTATTACTAGTTCCAAGTCAAATTCAGGACCAGAAGAATGGATGGCTAAAGTAAAATATTGAAAGGAACACTGTTGACATTAAGAATTGCAGTAGAATTGGCAAGTCTCAGTAAATTAGGAAGTAAAATCTTTTGAGTACAAAACCTGTACCTTCACCTATAAAATAATTCTCAAGTCTTACCTGATTGGGCACTTATTGATATGAGTGACATTTGTTATATCACATGATTATATACGTTTTATTTTTTATTACATAAGACAAGCCAAGTTTTGCAAATATAGATTAGCAGTTTATCAGAATGTTTCACAGGACTCACAGGGTTTCTTCCTAAAAATACTGTCAAGTATTTTGTGCAAGAATGGCAATGTCTTTATAGGACACAGGAAAGGAATTAACAGAATCACTCTGTAACTCAGGTATCAGGTTTTTTGTTAAATTCTGCTGGAATATGTGTCTATAGTGGTGTATATATATTATATATTCAGTCTAGATGTCATAAAAATTGAATAACTTCTAAAGGATCCTGCTTCTGAAGATAATAGCATAAATATTCCAAGTTGCTTGTTCACTCATTACTCTCTCAATGTGGGGTAGTCACATCTTCAGCTAGGCACTCAGACTAGGGCAGCATTTGCAGTCAGCTGGCACATGCATACCTGCCCTTAATTATTTTCATCGAGTAGTTTAAATTATTTCTTAGAGCCTTTATTCCTCTCAGTAACTTGGGGAGTTATTATTATCCTGGAATCAAGGTAATACATTCAGAGAACGGAAAAAATCAAATCAATAGAAATTTCACCATAATAGAAATAAACTCAGTAAGTTGAAAACAAAACAGCATTAAAAAAAAAAAAAACAGAATACTCTCCTTTTAAAACTAATAATTAGCTTTTGCAAGGCATGGAATCCAACAGTGATTTTTCTTTACTCACTAGGCTACAACTCTCATCCCTGAATTAATTCTCTACTCTATAATTACCTTTTTTTATTCTCTAGAGAAAAAGTTGCTTACCTATCTATCATATTTAAACATGTCATATATTTCCTTTCAATGTCCTTTCAGTAAAGCACAGTAACTAGTCAGCTCTGTTCTAAGACAGCATTCACATTATAATAACTTCAGGCCATACCTGTCTTCTGGCTGCAAATTCAGAACAGATTTTCCAGTTTTGGGACAGATTCTTTACATCATACTCCACATTTTCACCCTGAGAATCAATTCTATTTTTTATATTTATTTATTCGTACCAGAGATCAAATTCATGACCTTGTGCTTGCCAGGCAGGAGCCTGTGCCACTGAGTTAAATCCCAACCCCTTTTGTTTGTTTTTCGGACAAGATCTCACCATGCAGTTCAGGCTGGCTTTGACTCCTACGTATCCTAGACTGGCACTGAACCCATGGCAATCCTTCTGCCTCAGCCTCCTGAGTGCTATGGTTACAGTCTTGTGTGGGTGTTATGCCCACCCAAAAGATCAACTTCAGACTATCTCTTAATTTTGAAATTAAACTATAACGCAAGATAGTTTTCCTTAATATGAGCATTGCTACTATATGAAGACATGAAGGCAGAATGATAACGGATATTGTTAGCCCTGTAATACTTACTTTCATAATTTGGTAACTTAGATATTTCTTATTAGTTATTACAAATACACTCATATAACTGAAACAAAGTGACCTGATATTTAAAGTTTAAATCGTTCTAAGAAGAATCATTTCAAGTGACATTGATGTCACAATTTATAAATGATTTTGCTTTTGCTTAGAGCAAATACCTGTTTAGAACTGTTCACACTTGGCCAATGATAACATAAAGGAGAAATACCTTTGAGTTGGTTTAATGAAACTAATTGATGAGTTAATAAAACTCAAAAATAGTAGGAATAAGGAACTTGCTTCTAAGTTAGATAAATTAACTGGTCACCGCTTTGCAACCTTTTGACCCTAGCCAATTGCAATCTTGAGTTGCTCACAGGCATGAAGCCAAAATCAATACATGGATAACTTGTCCTAAAACATGACTGCTGCTGCTGTGCACAGTATTTTTTAAATTTGGTATTACGTTTTCTAATTCTATTTTAAGAATTACTGCTTTTCTGTTAAACATTTCACTTTACACAGTGCCAGTCACATGAATATGTGTTTTGTGATCAAATGTTTTATGACTGAATGAATGAAACAAAGAATATAAAGTCAGTGTAAACATCATAAGTTCATCCTTCACTCAAAAGTCATCCTCAAGTATTTCACGCAGGTAGCAGGAAAGCACTGAGAGGGTTGGTTACAGACACGTACCTGAAAAGAGTCTGCACATTGACGATGGTTTTGGCATCTGCCATGTAGTCCTCCTCGGCACTCATGGTGCTCTCTTTGTCCACCACCACCATGTTGGCAGCAAACGTCACTCCACACCTGAGCAAATCATCTAGGCTTTGATAAAAATCAAAGAGAAAAGTAGACTTTGAATAAACCACCATGTTAGAATTATCACTCTAGTGTCTTGTTGCTGTACTTACATAAATTGTCTTTATATGTATATGATTAGTGTGTGCATAAGTAGATACTAATGGGAATTATGATATAGTGTTATCTACCGATATAAAATATTTATTTAGGAAACTTTAGATTTCATTAGCTATCTGCTTCAGTTAAGAGTTAACTTATAATACTTATTAATTATGTATATGATGCTTGGAAAGACCCATTTTGCAATAAAAAGGGTACAGTGTGTTACAGTTGTGCTTTAAAGTTAATATACTACATCAAACACATAAGTTTACTTTTTTATTTCTATGGTGCATTTGGTAAGACTGTAGAAGGCTACTCTTACTTTACATTGGCAAAGCCTAGTGAAGAAATATAAAATTGAGATGTTTATTTTTAAATCTTTATTATTTCCTCCATGTTACTTATTTTTGTGTTTATTTAATATAGGATCTCAATAAATTGCCCAGGCTGGACTTGAAGTCTCCATCTTTCTGCCTTGGCATCCTGAGTAGCTGAGCTTATAGACACACACCAGTGTGTTCACTTTATTATTTCCTCATATAAGAGCTATGGCTAGAGATTATTTTTACAGAACTGTGGATCTGGAAATTGCAAAAATGTCTGCTGTGTTTATGCCTTTCAGTTACCCAGCCCAAGTGTTTAAATAAGTGATTGAATAAACTGATTTTTTTTCTGTCTGCGGTGATTACCAAATTAAAAGACAAATACATGTGATCTATGATAGTCTTCTCCCCTAACTCTGATACAACACCTTGCTTAACCCATTACCAGTGAAGGGGGGACAAATATGTTTACCCTTAAAGCTGAAACAGGAAAACTGTTTTTCCTAACTGATTTTGCTTTATTCAACTGGAAAAAATAGAACTAAATAGTTAAAGGAGATTAAACTTAGAGGAAAGAATGTTGTACAGAGTTAATTGAGGAATGATAAGAAGCCATAGATTAACTTACCTCACATCTTTCTATGTAAAATAGGAAGAATGAAATATAAGTAACAATAGTCTTTCTTAGATTCTTAAAGAGTCAGGTGCCTGAGGATCTTTTCCAAGTTAACTGGTAGAAATTAGCTATGTTACTCTAAAGGAGATTATTTTCCTTTTATAGCAAGGTGGGAGACAGGATTTCTTACTCTGTTATTAGGTGAGAGAGTATTACCAAAGCTCTGAGTCCAAGATCCCCAGGAGTAGTCCAGAAAAAATATTTCACTTGAATCAGGAGCAGTGTTCTGTGGCAGAGATTTTATGGCTAAAACTGTGGAAACAGAATGTTATTCCAAATAAATTTCCTATGGTATGAGGGGCCAGGACCATAACACCCAATCAATTTGATAGTCTTCAAGCTTAAATGCTAGGGATACTTGGGTCTTCCTTGTATTTAGGAACGTTATGTTACTTGTTCTGACATCCATTTTAAAAGGAGTTATCCAGGGGCTTGGAATGTAGCTCAGTGGTGGAGCACTTGCCTAGCATGGGCAAGGCCTGAGCTCGAATACGCCTCCAAAAGACTACTATGTGTCCCCTTACAGAGCATAAATATGATAACTAAGTCATTTGCTTTCAAACCACATGCTGTTTTGATTTACTTCTTATATTTCAACTTTCACAATCTTTCCCCCATTTATAAAAAAACAACTCACTTAGAATTGCTTAGAAAAATGGAACAGATAAAGTGCTAGAAGTTAAGCTTGGTTAGATGAAGATATATATATAGTTAGATGTTAAGATACAAAAGATGAAGGTTTAATCAAGTAATAAACTGAAGTTAATATTTGAAAAGATTTCGCTATAAAATAGCCGTGTTAATTGCTAAAAGCTACACATATCCATAGGTATGAATTTATTCCATCCTGAAAAACTTTGGTTGTTATATTTTACTCATAACACTGGAAATGGTAGTTATTATTATATGCTTAAATCCACAGACAATATATACAATTCCAATGATATTCCTGAAAAGTATAGAAGTTCATTTGTTCTTCATACTTCAGTTTTGATTTTGAATCAACACTTTTGATTTACTTAATATTTAATTTATTCACTTTCCTTTTTTAATTAGACTAACCATGTGTTTGTATATTTCATGTCTGTTTTTAACTTCTCTATTGTTTCTCCAATATGCTGCTTTACACAGTGCAGCCACCAGGTGGCAGCCAAGGAGAGTTAATGCGAATGACAAGAAAAAAAATGTTACAAATACAGTAATTGAACTGACAGTGAGTGCCTCCCTTCTCATCCTTTTTAACCACCCCCCCCCCAAGGCTAGAATGTAAAATTTAAGAGTGTGAAGGTGCATCCTTAACTATGTTTTGATTGATTTAAAGAAGAATTTGAAATAAGAAAAGTTTCAAACATTTGCAAAACAGAATGATACAGTTAACTATAGAACCATGTTCCACCACCTGACTTCAGTAATTCTCAGTTGTAATCAATCTTGCTTCATGTTTCTTCCTAGAAAATTAATGCTTTCTTTTTATTTAACACTACTATTTTCACTAGGAAAGTTTCACTTCAGTTTATATCAAAAAAAAAGACAGAATATCAATTCTTTTTCTCTTTTAATGTTTTTCTCATGAAATTTTAATTGCATACTAACATTTCAGAGTTACATTACCAGTTGTAAAATATATGCAAGATTTAAATGGTAAATTTAGCAATCTTCATTTTAGCTATTTAGGTAGTATTTTAACTAATGGTGTCAATTATGTTAATGTGGAACGGAGACTAAACATATTTTAATCTGGTTGACCTTTAATATGTCCATATAGTTAATAAACACATTTAAAGCCTACAGATTTATTCAACATTTACAGGCAAAAGTATTAGCAGTAAACTTCTCAATTTTAGTTATTAGCATTTTAAAACTGGAAAATAATGCCTATGATTCAGATACCTTAGTTCTTTTACTTTATATTAAATAACATTATCATGATACATATGTAAGAATATGCTTTTATTGATTTTACTAATTGATTTTATTAATGAATGACACATGATATTTTGATTAACAATATTTTAAACATTTGGGTCTCTGATACGTGACTGGGAGAAGTTGTTAAGATGCTCCTGTGTAGCGTGCTGGGGATGTGGCAGTGGTAGTGCTCTTGATTTGCCTGTACAAGGACCTGGGTTTGAACCCCTGCACCAAAAAAAAGATGTTCCTATTTTTAAAATCTAGGCTAAAATTAGCATTTCTAAAGTACTTTGGAAGTTTCCACACATGTGGTGTTAATGATATCAATGCATTTTTCAGGCCACTATTAGGATAACAATATGGTCGTTAAGAAGACACAGAATTGAAATAGGTTTGAAAACTGAGGACAACTGACAAGATTGACATGCAACACAATTAGCTGTAATTCAACAATACATTACTGCTTAGAAAGTGTAATATAAGCTATATAAGCTTTGCATGCATACAATATTATATTTTTAAAATGGACACAAAACAACACTTGTCATGCAGCAACACGTCACGGCACGTGACAAACCACAGGATGCTACACTACTTATGTGTCAAAAATTTTGCCACCTACTTGTCAATAGAGCCCACCATGTAGTAAACCATTGGAAACCAACAGATTGCATCCAGAAAATGCATATCTGGCCTAAGCAGCAGATGGATTACAAAATGAAACACAGTGTCACAACAGTGGCAGCACTTCTAGGGAAAGGAAGCAATTGACTTAGTTTGCATTTCCAAAACTAAATATTACTGACAAGATTAATACTAAGTGCTTTTTCCTTAACATTAGTCAGAAAATATTGTTTGCATTTGTTCTGGATTGCACAATAGAATTATAAATGAATTTCACCTTTATAAATCAGAAACATTATGGCATAATTCTACAAACTGCTAAACTAACATTCTTAATTATGGCTAAAATCTTATCAGTGAATTTTAAAGTTTTTCACATAGAGGCTTTGAACATAAAGAAAAAAATGACTTTCCAAAGGTATAGGGTGCAAATGCTTATTAAACTATTATGCATTCCTATTAAGCATAATTTTTCTCTGGAATGTATATAACCATAATATGCTCAACTATAGTTAACATGGCAAGTAACTAGACTCTATGCTCATGCAAATATGTACTACACAAAAGTTACAATGAAAATATTTCATTTTTTAGTTTATTAACATACTCAATACACATTGTATATGATTCTTTATATGCTTATTTGAGGAAAGAGCCACTAAATGAAAAACTGAAAAATAGTATACTATTTTTACTTTAGAATACATCTATTCATTCTTTTATTTGCTTAGCATACATACATCTGTAAATTTTACTTTCTGTAATAAACACAATCAGAGAGTGACATTTTTAAGAGAATACAATGTTAGCTTTTTAGATATACAGAGAATAGTGAACAAATGTACAAAAGCAGCAAAATGAATGTTTCAATCTGAAAATCAGCACAGCACTCAGGAGGCAGGGAAGAGTTCAGAGAAGTGCTACTTCATTTGGAAAAAATGTGTAAGAGTTTGCTGGTATAGAAGAGGAAGGAAATTTTCAATCAGGAAATTAAAGCACCTGTAATTATCAGTTGCTTAGACTCAGCTAGAAGAACTCTTTTTCCTCTTTGTCTTAATTTTCCCTTTGGACTGTCTTTCTGTGTCTAATGAAAAAGGAAACTTCAGTACAGCAAAGCATAAGAAACCTTCTGATGACTATAACTGTTATAATTTTGATTAAGCACTCCAAACATTATATTTATTTAATCATTTAATTGACCCAATATTGTTACAGATTCTAAGTGTACCATGATTCATCTAAAGGGTCTTCAATAATTTAGTTTGTAAATTAGTTTCATTTTTTGCCCAGTTTTTGTTGCCATTTCTACTATAATGTTATTAAGTATAACACTAGAAGGAACAAATTTGAATAATTTGTTGTACTAGATATAATTTCTCCAAAACGTTCTCAGAATGTACATTAAGTATATACATATATATTGTCATATGTAATATATATTATATATATTACAATTTATAACTTCTTAAAGTTTCTGATGTACATGTATGGTTTTCAACAAACTGTACACATTGGGAGTAACAATCTGATAGCAACTTAGGTAGAGATTCTTACGAAATTTTTTCTAGGAATGTCCTTTTGAAAAATAGGAGAGCAATTCTAATTGCTAATTCCACACGGTTCACAACTGCAGAAGCACACATAGGGCTTCAAGTACCAGAAGCATTGAGCCACAGTCAGATTTTGTGGTAATTTGAAAAATCCATTTACCTATGTCTTTGGGGGTTACTAGTATTATTTTATGTTTTCCTAACTTTTTATATAGTTCCAGTCAGATAAAATATTTCAAGTGCCAATAGCTCATGTATCAGAGTTGGGTCCATTTCTTCATTAGTAATTGATAATCTCTTTCCTGATAGGTAGAGATCATTTCAATTCTTCTATATAGTCTTCTTTGACCCTCTGTTCAACAGATGTACCTTTCTTCTAAAACCTTGAAACCACATTTAACAATATTGAGTTATTCAGTTCAACAAGAACATTGAAAAATTTCCTTGTAATAAGTATCGAGACAAAGCTTGTCTCTATGCTATGTCAATCTTTCTGTTAGAGTTAAAGTTGAGAATAAAGCCTTTGGATTTTGTTGATTTAATCAGTGGAAATTATGAAAACTAATTGATCATCAGAACGATTGCCTTGATTTGTGAAACTCACATATTTTAGTTACACATAAATCACACATAATGCTGCCAAACCAGTATATTTAAAGTTGGCAAGGAATCTTAAAATTCTTACAACTTGCTTTGAAATTGTAGTAGCATGATTCATTGTTGCATGTTGGAGTTACATTATAAACCCTCTTTAGCCCTGGTAAATATATAATCCCCATCAAAGTTATTTATTGTAAAAAGAGTACTGTCATATTGTTTGCTAAAACAAACAGATATGGTATATTTAATACTGCTGTTGAGAAAAATCATTTAGAAGACAACCTGAAACATAAAGAAAAATTAATTTTCATTTGCATGTTTGTGCCAAAACATTTTAAAACATTGGCATCAGTGTTTATGACACCAATCTGCTTAGTAATTGAATAGCATAATTATAGGCCCTTAACAGATCAATCTTTTCACTCTTTGGAAGACACTTAATTAGCAAACACTGACTTTCTTTAAGAAACATTATTATTGAGAAACACTAAACAAATAAGTGCAATGTTCATAAAAATAGATGTCCTTTTCTCATACTGTACCCTAAAATACAGATGAAAAATTGAGTGTAGAAAAAGGAAATCATTAGTGCAATAAAATAGAATACATAAAATTTTTAAAAATCTGACTTCTAAATAGAGAAGTCCTATTTAGAATTTGCATTAAGAAAAGTTGTAAAAATTTTATTTACAAATTTAACTATAAAGCTTATCATAAAATTCTTACATGTAAGCAATAAGTGTCAAAATTATTTATTAAAAATACGGAGCTCATCCTTATTCATTAAAAAATTATTGTTATTTTTTATGATTTTTTAATTAAGGGGAAAAATCAAAAAAATTAGCAGGATATATTATAGTAACTTATTTGATTTCCTATGAACTTGATTTGAAGTCCTGTAATACTCCCATTATCTTGTTTTGACTGATTAGACTCTGTTCCATTCTGTATGATAGTATCAATTATGAAAGTATAGGCAACTACTTTGAAGGCAGTAAGATTCATTAAGATGCCCATTCTGGTTTGACTATTATCTTTTTGGAAGTCCTGTAGTGTTTACAAGGTTTAGGTTTTATTGGTCTTGTTCTCTACTGTTTTGTTCAACTTTATAATACCTAATGAGATAGACAATTCTTCTTAAGGAAGTCCAAGAGGCATTATGGTAACCATTGTCAATAACCTTGTACTCTGTTTTACATCATGTACTATGTCTATCCTTGGTTTTGACCGACAGCTTTGTTTTGCCATATTTGACTTTATTCTCTTCCAAAAAAAATTAATAAGAACTAAGGAGTAATAAAACCCAAAATGTGTTGTAAAAAAGAGGAAAAAAAGGTGCTCTAAAGTACACAACTGCAAGTGTGTTTAGGGATGTTAAATAGATGCCCATATTAATGTTTTTGGTTGGATCATTGAACACAACTGTTTGCAATCTCCTGTTTGAATGTCCACTTTGTATGCTTTGATACTGTGACTTGAGCAACTGTCTCTAGGATGGTAATTGTAATCTATTAACTGGTGATTTCTTACTGTTTTTTTTTTTTTTCTGTAGTTCTGTATTAATTGTACCCTTATACTGCTTTATTTTGTTTTGTTTTTTGTTTTTCCTTTTAAATAAAATTTTAAAAAAATAAAAATACGGAGCTCAAAATATATAAAGAATCACTTCAAATCAGTAACAGAAAGATAAATACAGCAAGAAAAAAGATCTAGGGCAAAATAACTTTTCTGAGCAAAATAAAGCAGGCTGAAATTAGGTAGTAATAAAAAACAATTTAACATAAATAAAAAGTAATTGATCTTAATAAATAGAAAAATGAGCATATTAATTATAGTTCTAACTAACTTTATTAAGAAAAATGACTAGTCTAAAATCTGATTCTCATAAAATCTTCAGAAATTGCCATTATACCCAAATACTAAATTGCTAGTGATTGCTAAGAAATGAAAAGGTTTGTAATTCTTCACTCTTTACAAAATTCAAAACCATTATTTCTTTCCAATGAATTATAAACCATAAGAAACTTAATTTTGTTACTTCTAATTCAAGAAATGAGTGTCTTTATATTAGCATTTCGTAATTCTACTTTTGCATAGTTTATTTATCCATAAAATATTGAAGTTTAATTGCAACTACTCAAACTTCATTTTTTCAACTAACTGGGTCCTTACCAAAATGAACCAAGCATCCTGAATAGTGACAGTGTTCTTTTATTTGTTCATGCTTTTGTTTCGTTTTGTTGATGACAGAAGGCAAGCTTCCTGTCTGCCTCTCCGGTGTCAGTTTTTGCTGATGCTCTATGTGTATTACCTCACAGGACTTCACAAGAACCTGCCAAGTGTCCTAATCCATTTCCAAATTAAAATTGAGGCTTACATTCAAGAACATTTAATAAGTTTAAAAGGGTAAGCTTAGCCCTCTATCTCAAATCTTTCTGAGCTCAACGTTAGAATTTTTCTAATAAGACACTAATTTATTAAATATATTTATCATTATTTTTAAAAATAAATTGAAGTTTTCTTGGTATTATATGTGAAAGACTAATAAATGGGTAGTTTAAAGAAATTTTTGGTAAAAACAGAGTGAAGCCTGGATCTTTCACTTCACCTTTGTGTAGTTTTGGGTTATGTATTCTAGCTTTTGATTTGCTTTTCTGGTGTTATAAGATGACTAGATGACCTTTATTATAGGGTTGTATCAAAATATCTGGTATTAATATGGCATAACAGAAAAAAAGAACAGAGAGCCAGCTTATGAGAATTGACACTAGCTCTAATGAACTGTTGAAAATCAGACTTGCTCTAATAAACTAAGTGAAAGATGTTTTTTGATGACACTTCTATTTAATTTCCATTGTGTTGTAGAATTCTATTAGAAAATATTGGGAACACTTATTTCATCATATTGTGTGCATTACAAATTTTACTCACATTTTAAAATTCCATGCTTATGATCTGTTGTTCTAAAAATTTGTTATAGTGAATTAATTGATCTTTTGACTAAATTTCCTAAATAGTCATGCACCAATTTTATTTTAAGGATTGTCATGTCAATTATAATTCAGAGTAACATTCTGAAAACTAAGTAATAATTTAGAATTGTATACAACCGCCACTGTAAAGTTTGTAGAGCATGAAAGTATTTTTAAAGAAGAAATATCAGTGTTTCAGGTAACATTGTAACATCAATTGCAAAATACTACCAATTCCAGAGGAATATGCATCTCTTTAAAAATAAAAAAAAAAGATTGCATAAAACATCTGGGAACATTATTTATTAGTGTTTAGTTTTTGTTTCCTTATTCTTGACCAAAAAAGTTAGCAGAGAAAAGCAAATTAAAATGTTAGCACTTTTAGGAAATATACAGAAAGCTATTAGATCTTACAGCAAAGATTTTTCAACCTAACAAATATATCAAAATAATTGTGACAGATAAAAATATAATAATACATTGTAATAAAATCAAACTTTACAGTAATAATCAAATAGTATCTTTTGAACAGTTGGATTCTAAAGTGTAAATCATTAGGAAGAGTAATGTAATTTTTAATGCAAAAGGATTCTGATATTAAAAATATTCTTGCTTCCAAAAATAACTGATGATACATATATATATATATATATATATATATATATATATACACATATATTTATGATTTCTAAAATCAAAAACCTGTAAGAATGTATAGCCCTAAGAACAGAGTTAGGAGTTGCATAGAAGATTCTAAACCTAAAATTGACCTTGCGAAAGCTCATATAACTGCTTTGGTTAATTTTTACACCAACTGTAAAATAAAAAATGCTAGTGTATTTGAGTCACTCAGGCTTTAGTTTATGGAAATGTCTGAAAATATATATTTGGCACCTAATTAAAGGAAATTTCCAGATTATTCTGTAATGACTAAAGGAATTAAGCCTCTACAATCACATAACTTGATAATCCTAATAAACATTAGGATTGTAATGACTCATCATTTCAGAATCAGGCATTTTGTAATTTCCTTGTTCAAAACCAAAGAGGGATGGAGGTAGCTGCCTTATGTGAGGTGAACAGGGAAATGATTTCTTAGCTCCTACCGGCTTGAATCATGTGGTCAAAACAGGGAAATTAGTGTTTCTGAGATGACACTGCATAACAAGACTGGAGACTGAGAAAGAGGAGTCACTCTGTTTTATAATTTGGATCAAAAATGTCCTGCAAAATGCTCATGTCCTCAAAGATGGGACATCTATGTGATGATTATTTGAGCTCAATGTGCTGCGAGGAAGTAGGGCTGTGTGGTCCTATCTGGGAAAGCAGGTCACTGGAGCCGTGCTATACCATTCTAGGATTCTCTTCCCTGGATTCTGCTCTCCTGACAGCGGGAAGTGAGCAGCTTTGCTCCATCACGTCCTTCGGCCAAGATGCTTTCCCCCTAACCAGCCTACTGTGACCCTAAGTAAGCCTTTCCTTCAAGCTGCATGTGACAGGAATTTGTTCCACTCACACAGGTAACTAACACATTCTTGATTTCACAGAGATAACTCCACTCCCAAGTTTGAAAGGGTAGATTTTTTATGGGGGAGAGTTACAGATCAGGACAAGGATTTTCATCTTGAAATAAAGTAAAGAAGAAGAAAAGGCAGTCTTTGCTGACAATTCTACGAGAAGGATACTATAAACAGTTCCATGACTTTCTTCTCAAGCTTCTTTAGTTCTTCCAGAAACCTGGGACTTGAATTGAACCATTTGACCCAAGTCTTCTAAAATGAGGCTACTCTAAATTTGAAAATTCTGTCATGAGGGGAGTGGGCACATCATAAAGAGAATCAAAACTTGACAAATTTGAGTACACATAGTCAATTTAGCAGCTCTCTTGTGTAAGCCCACTCAACCCTCCACAGCTTTCTGCCAGAAAAGCTTCAGAATTAAGGATGTGATCAGAAGGCGTGGGAGGGCTTAGCAACCTGTCCATTGCTATAGTCAGTTATCTCACACTCAGTTTTCTCTCCCTAAGATTTGTTTAAATATGCTTGCCTTTGCCCTGACATTGGGTTCAAATTTCCTTTCGCCCAAGCCTACCCTCATTGTCGCTCTTTTCCTTAATACAAAAGAAAGTCACTCTAGCACCATACCTGCAAAATTTTCAGGTAAAAAGTCTACCAGTGTGCTCAATTTTTAGTGGTAGGGCTGTGAAGATGTCACTAAAAAAGAGACATCAAGTGAGTATTTTGATATTGGTATATTCAGAAAAACCAATACCATGAAGAATATTGTATCATAAAGTTATAATACCGGTTCTGAGAAACGTGTGGTAAATTTTAAAACAGTAACAAAACAACAGAATTTGGTGAATTTACTTTCTTCTGAAATTTACAACATGTTGGAATGTATGAAGAAAATGAAGGATTATAAAATATTAGCTTGATAAAGCCCCCTGCTATTAATTTTCAGTCACAGAAAGGGATAAATTAGGAGGAAAAATGTTTTTGACAATTACCTTCAGAGAGCTATATTAACGTTTGCAGAATTTATAAAGTACTTAAGTAATTTTATTTCACAATAATTAGTCAATTGATTAGCCTCAAAATCAATATATGTGATAAAACATTACTTATACAATATTACATAGTTTTTAAAATAGTACATTGATAATGCATGATGATACACCATGTTAGAACATATAAAAATGGATCAATCAGTGCTTCTATGATGATTAATGGTTCATTAGAAATATAAGAAAATAGTTCAGTGTCAGCAGAATTTTTACAGGCTAATTAATTAATTTAAGAAAAACTCCATTAGTTGCAACAGTAGCTTATTTCCCATGGCATTATGAATGGATGGCTGCTAATAAAATAATTTCAAAAGTCTTACAATTTTCCAGTGACATTTTAAGTAATAATTTTAAAGTATAACTATATTCAATGACTTTGTCACAGCACAGAATTTGTCTCCCAAAGAATTATGTACCATAATGTATCTGATTTAAAATGCTACCCACAAATTAAAGTCAATTATTTTTGTATACATAATGTAATATTAAAAACTCTTTGTCATGCTCATGTATTTTAAAATATACTTACGGGTTATCCAGTAGCAGTACTATGGGATTAAGTTCTTTCTTTGGTCTATAATATGCCCTGAGAGGAACAATAAAATTATACAATCCATTTCCAGCTGTTTCAGCTGCAACTATAATAAGTTTATTTTTGAATCCATAGGCTTTTGCATCCTCATAGTAGTTATGCTGGCAACTCTAGAAAAGAAAAATTACACACAAAGAAATATCATCTTTATACTCCACTAAATGTAAAAAAAAATAGCACATAATGAAGTATAAAATTAATCTAATTAAATAAATCCTTATATTCTAATAAATGTGAAGATGGTTACATTTATCTTTGTCCAGCTCTTCAATGTAAGGTAAGAAAACACGCATTCATGGAGTAGGCAAATGGATCAATAAAAGTGATGCTTGATGTTCAAAGAGCTAGCAGTATGTGTGTGCACATGCCCAGTTGTATATTAAAACCTCCTACTAGATAACAGCTGAGCATCTATACTGAAAAATTATTTACCTACAACTTTCATTTCCAGAACTATAATAATGCTATAAATAAATAGCCCCAGAAATATTTCTAGCACTGAGAATTTAAAGTGATGAACTAAAAAAGAAAGAAAAAGAGAAAAATACTGCCTACATGCATAGCAAAGTTGTGCTGATAACGATGCAAATATCCAAAAGTAAAGTAATAAAAAATAACAACAACAACAACAACAAAAAAAAACCAAGAACAACACATTGCCAAAGTTCATAGTTAGTCTGAGGTATTCTGCTATTTCCTGAGAGTCTGAAATTCACTGAGATTAATATTACTATAGCAAGGATGTTTTTAAATTAAAATGCCTACATGGAAAACTGCTTTGATATTCTACTTTCACTGTTACATGGCTCTGTATGGGTTTCTTTCTTATTTATTTGAGTTTAAATTAGTTCTCTTTGGGATATTCTTTGCCACTATTCTACAGCAAAACATTACAAAATACTGGAGGAGGTATGCATCATGAATAAACAGATCATAATAAAATAATTATATTCACAAAGACTACATGTATTGTTGTGAACTCACAATAATGAGTTTTGCATGGATAATATGTTTAAAGAAACAAGAGAAAGCATTTAAAGCATGAACAAAAAACAGGAGACTTTAAAGTACCCAAGACAGATGTTAAAAAATGTATCTATTTCTATGTATCTCTTCAGACTAAACAGTAGAACTCAAACGATGATTTAAATTGCACATATATGCAGCTGAAGGCACCAATCACAGGGCAGGGCTGAAAACGTTCCTCAAATGCAAAGCAGAAAATGAAAGAAATTGAAACAAGGAAAGAAAAATCAAAAGGTATAGAAGACAGTTTGAGAATATTTAACACATATTTAATAAGAATATCTTAAAAAGAGATGTCAGAATCAAAAAGAAGACTTATTTAAGAGAATACTGATGGACAACTTTCTAAAAATGATTAGAAATTCAAATCATTAGGAAACTATGGATCTAAGTAAAAAGAAATGCACAATCCTACATATTATAAAAGCACAGAAACTCAAGACAATAAGATCTTAAAGGCACCCATAGAAAAAGAAAAACTGCCTACAAGAAACAAAACTGGAAGATGGACTAACTCTTCAACTGGAACAAGAAGCACAAAATAAAGATCTGAAAGTGCTAAAAACGGAAAATATTGACCTATCCTTTTCAGTTACTAAATTTCAGCAGCTTAATCTTGTATAGGTATTTTAAAATATGGCTTTTCTAATTAGAAATTGTATTTTTTTTAAGTCTTCTTGAAGGTGCTTTAATTGCTGCTAAAAGACATTGTTTCTTTTGCTAAAAACCAAATGATCTTGATGTACATCATAGAGAAATATTATAAGACATACTGAGCATTCACTAAGATTCAAGGAAGGCATGTAAAAGTGATCCATGTTGGCCATATTGAGTTCTTTAAATCAATTTCCTGAGTTCTAGGGCTGTCAGCACATAGATACTAGATTTACAAATTGTTTATGGTTATGCTACATTTCTAGAAAGACTCTTATCATCAAGGTGGGATGACGATCCCATAAGTCAGTTTCTTACGCTTTGTACAGATTTGTTAAAATGTGAATACTCCTATTTGCTTTGTATGGTAGAAACCAAAAGTTTTCAGGATGCTGTGCTGCACTCCTCTAAAGATTTTTTTCTTTATTGTCACATTCATAATGATGATACTGACATTTAAGTTGTCCACGTTGCTATAGCTATACCTACCACAGAATCCCTAATATTGTACAGTTAAACTGTGGCTCTTATTTTTGATGTTGAAAACCATTTTTTTTGTTGTTGTTGTACATAGACACATTATCTCTTTAAGATGTGGCTGAAATTATAGAGAATGTAATCAAAACAGTAATAAACAAAAGCAGTTAAAATGTAAAGACTATGAAAATTACATTCACAGAGAGCTTTCAAGAGTTAGGGTACTGGCTAACTTAATTATTTTACTTAAGAATCAGGTGAATAAATTCTTTCAAGAGCAGAATATATTTATAGAGAGAAAGTGTCTGTCTGAGAAAGAGACAGAAGGGGTCCTGAGTAGGTTGCCAAAGTCTCTGTCTTTTCTAGAATCTTTCATACTGCAAACCATGAGGCAAGGCAGGGTCCACGGTGAGGAAAAGTGGGAACTTGCAAAGCAGGCGGGCGTAAAGCGAGACAGAACTATGGTCAACCAGTAAGATTATGAGTGCAATTACTCAGGTAAAACCGTTTAAATCGGGATCCAATGGGCAGGCGAGTCATGTAGCAAGAACTTTTGCTTGTAGGGCTTTAGATTAATGACCGCTTCTGGCTTCCTCAATGAATAAATTCTTTAAGTATTATTCAGAGAGGGAGAGAGAGAGATAGAAAGAGAGAGAGAGAGAGAGAGAGAGAGAGAGAGAGAGAGAGAAACTAGTGTCCTAAAATTTGACACTACACAAAACTTTTTTGGTTGTTTATTTGTTTGTTTTAAGAAAAAAGACAAAATAAGGTTTCAAGGGAGAATATGATTAAGAAAAATTTGTCAAAGACAAATTTCACTAACAAATTTTAATGACTAAGAGTAGAAAAATGAATAGAAAAAAGAGATCCGAAGTATAAGAGACGGAAAATATCAACAAAAATGATAAAGAACAAGGCAGTGTCACTAATGGAAAGATATTTGATGCATTATTAATACTCTCAGGTAAAGAAATAGCACACACCTCCTACCATCCTAATGCTATTTCTGTAACCAGCAGTCCCAGGTATGTGGCGACAAGAAAAACTCAGAAGCTTTGCTTTTTTAACATGGTAAAATGCCAGGTAATACAGTAAAGAACCGTTAATGGTAAATACTCAGTTATTATTTATTTACCAATGCTCATCTCTAAAAGTTTAGATTTGCAGATGGACCAGGTTCTTTAGTTGAAGATAAATCCTGGGTTTTTGTTGTTGTTGTTGTTGTTGTTGTATCAAACTCATGACCTTACTCTTGCCATGTAGGCTCTTAGGCCGCTGAGCTATTTTGTTGGCCATAAATCCTTTCTAATCTTTGGGTTTCTAATACATTATTCCTCTTTAACTGTATATAAAAAAGAAGTAAAAGCTATAAGAAAGGAGACCAGGTATTCTTATTGCTGAAATGTATGATATCAAGTACCTTCTTTAAGCAATACAATAAGAATATTATAAACAATAAGTAGCAGGAAAAATTAGTCATGGAAGGGATCGATGCAAGTATCCTTGTTATTAAAGGATTTACTAAATTTAGTTATAAATGCATAGCTGGAAATAAATATCAAATGTTTCAGAAGATCAAATTAAAATAAAGACTGCAGAAAATAGGACAGAATTGTTCATATGTATGGGCCACGATCAACATTTAGGTGTGAGGGCAAAGGAATTTTCTAATATTCTCTTAATCTTCTTATTCAAGAATGATAACAATAGGCCAAAGTGCTTGTGCTTACTTGGTTGGGGAGAGGACCTTAGCTGGATGGACTGCTTTCTGTGACTTCTACAAGCTACAGCCAGAATAAGAAAGACCCTAGGAGACCTTCAAGCTGCATGGTGGTTGACATTAAGATTCTCAGCAAGTGCATGGTTCCTGCACGACTCCCGCTGGCTTCAGTAAACAGGTGCTGCCCTCAGACCTTGGGTCATGCAGCTGCATGCTTCCTATGAGACTCCAGTGGGCACTGAGGAATGCTGCACTGCCCTGGGACTTTGCCCTGTGCCACCACGCACTTCCTGCTGCTGGCCCCGAGGAATGCGTACTGCCCTCAGACCTCGGCCTATGCAGCCACACACTTCCTGTGCAACTCCTGCCCGCACTGAGGAACGTCATACCACCCTGAGACCTTGGCCCATGCTCAGCAGACACCGAACCTAGGACATCTACTGGCCCCTCAAGGGCACTCCTTACCTATTGGACCTAATACTGCTATTGATCTTCAGCTCCCACCCTTTCTCCCAGGACCTTGGACTACAGTGGATTAACTGTGCTAGCTTGAAGAGAGATTCAGTAACTGCCTCACCCAAACAGAAGATCTCAGCAGGCTCCAGTCAGTGTGGTAAGTATGCCTCTAAAATAGAGATGTACAGTAGGTGTCATGGTTTATGTTGGTGGACCTCAGGCCTCATGCATTTGCATTATACATTTGTGATTGGTTCATTGTCTAGAGCTTGGAGTGATGGTATCAGTGCTCCACCCACACCCAAGCATGCAGTGTAATGCCAGGAAGAAGGTGTGTCTTTCTCTGTTTTGCTGGTTTCTGCCTTGCTGTTTGAAGCTGCCATGAACTGCGGCCCCACCATGCTACCCTGCCTTGGAGCCAACTGAGTATGGACTGAAACGTCCAAAAACTGTAAGAAATAAACCTTTCCTTTCCCAACTTTGGGCATCAGGGATTTTGTCTCAGCGACAAGTAAAAAGTAACTAAGACAGTGGGTAAATAGGGCCAGTAGTAAAGCTCCCTCCAACTAACTGTAAGACCTTGGTGAGTCTGACAAGAATGTGGGTGACCCCTTCCTACACACAGAAAACATCAGGCAGGGTGAAGAGTGTGCCAATAAGGACTCCCTCAACTTGGAGAAAATCAAAAGGGCTTATGAAACATATAGGCACACAATAGGGACACAGTAGGGCCTCAGCCAACACAAACACTGTAGACAGGAAGATTTGGTGACCTGG